GGTTTTGTGTTTGATAAAATTAAAAAAACTAAAAATTGAAAGTTGAAAATTAAGTGCTGAATTAAAATAAATTATTTAATATATATAAGATCAAATTTAAAATTTATTAGTTTTAATTTGCAACTTCTAATTTTTATATTATAATAATGTCGCAATGGTAGTAAAAATAAAGAGATTATAGTTGTGAAGATTCTGGAGGAATAATATAGTGGAGATAAAATGGGATGGAAGTGGTGGTGTAATAACGGTGGTGATTGTTATGTTTGAATAATGGTGGTGTCTATGTTAACGATGGCAATGGATAAGGAGGTGAAGGGTAGCTGTAATTAGGGGTAGACAAAAGTTAGGCCGAGACAATATTACATAATAAGAAACTTTGTATTTGTCTAAGTTCAGCCCGGCTTTAACATCTAAACTCTATATTTGCCCAAAGCAAGTCCAAAAAACAATTATTAGTTGGTCTTTTGACAGATTTTAACGGTTTTATTAATATATATATATATATATGTGTGTGTGTGTATATTGTTTTATTTCTAAAAGGTATGTTTAAATTTTATGACAAACTTTAATATAGAATAAATTAAAACTAAAAAATTTATAAAATGGAATTTATTTTTATTTTATCATGAATATAATTTTTTTTTTTTTTGTAATTTATTCTAGTTTTTTCATCTTTACTAATTATTTTTATTTTATGACATCTATTTTTTTATTGTGAACTTAAAATATACAATTAATGACATAACAACTACAACATATATATACATATATTGTAATAAAATGGTTAAAATTTAATTCATTCTAAATTATTTTTCTACACTTTTTAAATAAATTTTATGTTATTATTTAATTCTAAAATTATTTTAATTATTTATTTAACCTGTGGATCGCACGGTTCATTATGCTAGTATAGAAAAGTAAGGAATATTTTCTAAATTAAAATTTGATCGGCGCAAATCAGGGGTTGTTTGGGATGACCTAAGTAAGTGCACTTTTTGTCTTTTTACGAAAAGATGTGCAGAAAAGTAAAGAGATGATATGATGAAAAAAAGATAAAAAGATAAAAAGATTGATTATTTTGTGTATGCTAAACTTGGCCTAACTAAACATTTTCAATCAAATAAACGATAATTAAGAATTAGGAGGGATGAAGATGCTGGCAGCCTGGGATAAGCCCAGAGAGAATGTCCTAGGACAGAGACGCTCTCATCCTAGAGAGAGAAATTATTTTTTTCTCTCACGCAATTTGAACTACGCCAATCAAGCCATGTCACAAACGACAGTGTGCTGATTCACTTTCCCTTTCTCTTATCCAAAAAGTTTGGAATGTTGTCATGCTAATTTGTTTTTGTTTGTTTTTTAATATGATATTATGTCATATTATATTTTTTTTAGAGATTGATTTTCCTAAGAGAACTGTTGAATCCGTGAGAGTCCACCACAAGACTCGTTTTGATAATTTGAACCGTTTGCTGTGTAGAACTCGTCGAGTACTATATGACTGTAAAAATTCACGTTGATCGGGTATCGATAACTATTTTATCGGATCAGATTTATTTCAATCGTTTATTTTCATCGTCCATTTTTTTTTATACAAAACCGATTGGATCACATAACAATCGAGTTCTACATATTAAATGGTTCGAATTATTGAAATAGGACTCGTGGTGGGTCCCCACAGGCCCAACAGTACCCTTCAATCCGATCTGGGACTGAAGGGAAGCCAAGCCCTTTTTTTAATATGATAGATCATATATATACATATAATATTTATTATATAAATATAAATAAAAGAATTAAGTAAAGCACGTGATAATAAATAATATTTCTCTAACAATTATCATGATTCGAATTAAAGTCCTAGTTTATCCAGAGGTTTTATGTTTGATAAAATTAAAAATTAAATATTGAAAGTTGAAAATTAAGTAGTAAATGTGAATTTTTTAAGTTAAAAAATTATTTGAGAAAAATTAAGGGCTGAATTAAAATAGATTATTTGATATATTAATTTTAATTTGCAACTTCCAATTTTTATATTATAATAGTGCGGCAAAGGTAGTGGAAATAAAGAGATTGTGGTTGTGATGATGCTCGAGGAATAATGTACTGGAGATCAAATGGGATGGAGATAGTGATGTAATAACCGTTGTGATTGTTACGATTGAATGACGGGGGTGTTTATGTTAACGGTGGCAATGGGTAAGGAGGTGAATGATAGTTGTAATTAGGGGTGGATGAAAGTCGAGTTGGGCTGGTATTATCTAATAAGAAATTTTGTCTGTTTAAGACCAATTCGGTCCTGACATTAGACTTTTATATTTGTCCAAGTTAGATCTAAAAAATAATTATAAATTCCAAATTTACCCATCGAGTTATATGTTAAAAAAGATTAAAAGATTCCACAATTAAATTGAATCACATTATATTTTTTAAATAAATATATTAATATCATTATAAATTGAAAAAAATAGTGTACAAATTGAAACATTTTTTAAATAAATTCAATCACACATCACCCCAAATGTGAATTTTACTAAAATTAACAAAAATAAAGTCTAGATCTCAACAAATATATATCTATATATATATTTTAATGTATTATAATTAATTAATTTAATAGTAGGTAGGATTGTACTTGGGCCAAGTTGGGTTGAAAGTATAAATATCAAGTCCAACCTATTAATATTTCGAGCTAGAAATATTGGTCTAGCCTAACCTTATGGGTTAAAACAACCTTCTCAAGTTCTATAAAAATACAGTTCCAAAAAAAAAAAATCTATAAAATAAGGCTAGGTCGAGTGAGCCAACGGGCTGATATCCACCCCTAGTTGTAATGGTGGTGGAGAGATAGCCGTAATGACAGTGACGATTGTGGTAATGGTGTTATGGTAGTAGTAAAATGATAGTAGTGCTCATACAATAATGACAATGATAATAGAGATTGTGGTAGTGATAATAGTGGTGAGAAGAGGTGGTAGCAATAGATGCAATGGTGGCATGATGGTTGTTGTGGTGGTGGTGGCAGTGATGACGATGGCAATGGTAGTAGTTTTAGTGGTATCGTGATGGTGGCAGCAATAGTGGTGGTAAGGTGGTGGTGGTGGTGGTGGTGACAGTGACAGTGACAGTGACAGTGACAGTGACAGTGACGGTGGTACAAATGGAGATGGTGATAGCAGAGATGGTGAAGTTATAGCCATATATGTTGACACATATACATAAATATTTAAATTTAATTAAAATTAAGTATGTTTGTTGTTACTTAAATTTTTTTTAAATTTTATAGTCACTGAAATTTGAAACTCTCTTTGTGTCAAATTGTTTGTTTGGCCAAAAAAAAAAAAAACCAAGAATTTACAAATAATATATTATTGTATCAAAATTTTGAATTTTATTGCAACAAAAAAAAATGAAAAATTAAATTCAAAAATACATATGGATCATGCTATAGTACATACCCTTATACAAGTTATGACATATATAGTGTTAGGATTCGTTTGTGATGTGAATTGATATTTTGGTTATTTTAACTTAGGGTTAAAAAATTTCATTTGGGATGGATTTTTTAACTTTTTTTTTTTAATTTTTGTGAGAGAAAAAGTGAAATGATTATGATTTTGATGTGATATTTTGTCTTATTGACTTTTTAGTGTATTTTATTTTTTTGTGATTATTTTAGCCAAAAAGCCTAAGGCTTTTTCTTTCCAAACGAGCTCTTATTACAAATGTCATAACATGATCATTTTTAGTCATAACTAATTTTTTTTGAATCATAACCAAACGCCAAATGTGTATAACTAAAGAATTTTTGAATCATAATCAACATCACGATAAGACATAACTAATATCATAATGTGTATAATTCAATCATAATTAACATCACAATAGATCATAGCAATGATCATAAATTGGGCCATATGGCACAAACACGAAAATAATTTATCAATGCATTATTATTTGAATAAATTATAAATACATCACTGAAATTTATTTAAAATATTGCTTGTCTTTTGTGATTTTGATAATTACAAGTATCTTTTTATTAGAATTTTTTATTTAACAAGATTAGCTAAAAAAACTAAAATTTAGAACTACTCTCTTACTTGAAATATAATTTTTTTAATTGAAATATAATTTTGACATCATAAAAAATTGTTAATTAATTTGATAATCTATTAATAAAAATAATCATTTTTATGCAATTAAAAACGTAAAAGGCAAAATATGATTTCTAATTTTTTTTAGAGGGGTGATAGTTTCTAAAATTAGATGAGACGAGTTTTAGAAGTGTGAAAAATTTGTTTGATTGTAACTTTTGAAAAAAAATTTGAATTGAGTCTGAAATTTTTGATGTGACATATAATATTTAATTAAAAAACTTACACCTTATAACCAGACACACAACTCAAAATTCTATTCAAAACTCATAAGAAATTTAAAAAGATTCTGAAAATATTTTTTATTTAAAATATAATAAATAACAGGTGCCAATTGCCCCCCCCAAAAGCACTATTTCAGACAACTAGCCGGACTTTCTGGAGAACAATTGGGTAGGTCAAATTTTAAAATTTAAAACCCCGCCTAAAATAAGTTTTCAAGGATAAATATAAAATTAAATTTTAAAAATTATATCTAAATATCACACTCAAATATGAATATAGAGTTATGATTAAAACTCCACGTCAAATACAACCTTTATTTTTTAAACAAGTGCCATGGAATGAATTTTTAATTTACCTTATTATTTTGGTGTTTATCTTGTTTTGTTATTTGTAAGATAAGATAGTCCATGTTTATCTTGTTGAGGACCCACAATGCCCCTAATACCTGTAAATGCCATATGATAATTGAACTGTGATAGAAATTCTCGCATATACATGATTCTTACAATCTCTACTCTTATTTAAATCACTCATAATACAAGACCTACACATATATAAATGAATTTTACATATATATTAAGGATCAAGATTAAATTAAGAGCCAAAAAAAAAAGAAAAGTGGTCCAAACATTTCTGATAATAATTACCCAATACTTTTCATGTAGCTTTGCATCCCTTCCCCGAATTACTTAAATTGAGGCCCTATACTATACATTTGTCTCGTTTCTTTTTAACCTTCAAAAAGCAGAGTCGCTGAGTGTATCTGTGGAATCTCTCATCATGTGATTCCTCTGGTTCGTCCATTTCTGTTCCTCCATTGAAGTTGAAGTGGTGCCTTCTTTCATGCACCCTGTTTAGGGTTTTCTTATCTCCATTGCAATCTCTCTCAATCTCTTTGTTAGGAGGCACTCAATCACAGGCGATTTGACTTGAAACTTGGAGCAACTTACTTCGTTACAAGGTCTCTGTGGAAAGTATTCAAGTTCCTTCTTTTTCTATCCTGTTGCTCTGCGATTGGATCGATCAAACAAAACAACTTGAAATCTCTAAGAAAAACAAGGCAAATTGTTATCTGGGTACAGGTCAAAATTTTGAACCTATCACTCTTGTTTTAGATTCTGGTTTCTTTGTTTCGTCACGATGGACGATGGGGAGATTGATTATTCAAACCAAGAGATGTTTTCAAGTCTAAACATTGATGAACTCCGAAGCTGTTTCTTTACCGTTAGGCCATGTTTGATTCACAACACTAATAGTGAGGTATTAATAATCCTATTAAATTAGTGTGGTATTAGTTATCCCACCCCTACCCCATTACTAATAATCCTACAAATTTGTTGGATTAATTATCCATTGGATTAATAATCCTAAACTAAAATGTCAAAACAAACATAGGATGATTTGGCCCACGGATTAATAATCCCAATCCTATACTTTAATCCTTCCAATCAAACATAGTGATTTGGATGAATTTATGAAGGAAACATGCACTCATGCCCACACTTGCAACCCACCAGGCCCTGATACCTCTCATACACACACTTGTCATCACGTGCACACCAAAATTCTGCCTGCCGCAACTCAAGATAAGTTGGTTTCCACTGATGATATTGTAGAGTCCTCGGAAAAGAAATCAAAGAAATGTCCAATGGGTAATCGTGAAGCAGTTCGCAAGTACCGCGAGAAGAGGAAGGCTCGCACTGCATCGTTAGAGGATGAAGTTGTGGGATTGAGGGCTAAGAATCAGCAATTGGTGAAGACATTGCAAGATCGAGATGCTGAGATTGGAAGGCTCAAGTGTTTGCTTATGGACTTCCGAGGGAGGATTGATGGGGAGATTGGCTCTTTTCCTTATCAAAACCTGGCTACTCCGAACATGCCCGGTGCTTTTGTGATAAGCCCATGTAATCAGGTCTACTGCCTTCAACCAGGGGCGGAAAGAAAAAGTGGGGAAGATTCATCAATGAATGGTCAAGGCTTCGGCTGTTGTGAATTTGCATATCTACAATGTTTGGGGAACCAGAATGCTGGACCGAAGAAGTTCCCTGGTTGTGGACTAGGGAATGTAGCTTCTATCGTCAAGTCTTCCGGTGCGAACTAGGAAACACGGCTGCAGATACATATACAGAATACGGGTGCCTCTATACAGATACGTTTGTAAAAAATGGGAAAAGATAGGGATCATGAAAATTTTGTCATGAAAATGATCATGAAAAATTTATGATCCTTGGATTACCTTGATTAGTGTGCGGCGTTTTATTCTAAGTGTAATCCAAGAGTCACAAAGCTTTCATGATTATTTTCATGAAAGGTTTTTCATGATACCTAGCATTGTTGGTAAAAAATATGTTTTTACTTATATTAGTAAAATAATAATCTTTTAAGTATTGTGAATTAATTTAAGCCATTAGTTGGTTTATTTAGTTAGTTTATATCACAATAGCAAAACAATCCACATGAATTTGGCTATGTGCTTTTCCTTTCTATACTAGGTAAAACGATTGTAGGTAAATTTATTTATTGATATTTAATTTTATTATTGCTATATTTACTTGTTAATGTTTATAGATGTCTAATTTTACTATTTATTGTACAAATATAAATAGACTGAATTAAATAAAGCCCGCGTTAATAAATAGTATTTCTCTATCAATTATCATAATTCGAATTAAAGTCCTCGTGGCTTTTCTAGCTTGTCTATGGAGTGTTTTGAGAAATTGGTAAAAAATTAATTGTTTTTAATTTTTTTAATCAATTTTGTGTTTCTATGAATAAAAAATATAAAAAGTAATGTGACTCAAAATGAATAAAAACTCCGTTTGGAAAGATATGTTGTGGGCTTTTTTTGATTATTTTAGTCATAAAAGACAAAATAGGCTATTTTAGTCATAATAAACAAAACATCACATCCAATCTATAATCATTACACTCTTCTCTCACAAAAAAAGTTTAAAAAGTCAAAAAATCAAAAAAAAAAAATCCAAACTAAGCTTTTTATCCCAGACTAAAAAAATCAAAAAATTAAAAAATCAACCCACTTCTCAAACCAACCTTTAAAAAGTTAGCTTTTTATTTTGTTTCCAAAAACCCCTATGTCAGCCGGCCATTACTTCTGCCCCAGCCTCACCTCAAGCAGACAACTCGACCTGAATGAGACTTGGATTTGAAGCCTGGCTCAATCCATTCGCCTCCCTTGCAAGTTGCAAGGGTAGCAGCCAAAAAATAAATAAATAAATAGATGATTTTTTTTTTTTTTTTGGAAAAATTTTGAGCCTCAATCCATGCCCCGTGGAGCTAAGCACTATTAATATATTTGGGCCAAATTTGTTAGGCAAAGCTTGGCTAAGGTTTTTGAGTGCATCTATTTGCACCCAAATAATAATTTGGTATGTTCAATTAAAATTTTAAAATTTAAATTTTTATTATATTTTAATGTAAATTTATTAATAAGGATAATATATATTAAATTTTAATATATATATATATATATATATTCTCATGTTACACCCAAATCACTTATAATTCATCATATTCAACTATTTACATCTTATTTCTCAAGTTTTAATTATTATCAAAATTCACCATTATCATATATTTCTTATTATGTTGTTATTTGTAAATAGACGAAAGTTTGAATAAAATCAAACAATATATATGAATAATAATCAAAAGTATTTTTTGAAGCAATCCATTAAAAAAGATGTAAGTATTAGTATAAATATCAAAATATAATTATTGATTTATGTATTTTTCAGTTATAAACTACCCTAATCATCAAGAAAAGAAACAAAACTGTGAACGTAATTAAGAAGAAGTCATTATAAGTCTCATAGAATAGATTCACGCAAAGAATATAATTGATACCAAGAAACATGACAAATTTAGATATACGCTTTATCAATTGCTTAATCCCGAGATTACTTCAAAACATCATCAATGAGCAAGCACATCATAAGAACATCATCAATGAGCATGCACATCAATAAGATTTTAATGAAGGTTCTGATTAGTTATTTGGATGCCATGGTAAGGTGAGATGAGTATATGTTGCAATCATGATGAAAACCTAAAAGAGAAACTTATAAAAGATCGTAAATAAATATCAACACCTGTGTTAACATATATTATATTATACATTATAGTGCCTTTTGCATGCACATCAATAAGATTTTAATGAAGGTTCTGATTAGTTATTTGGATGCCATGGTAAGGTGAGATGAGTATATGTTGCAATCATGATGAAAACCTAAAAGAGAAACTTATAAAAGATCGTAAATAAATATCAACACCTGCACTAACTTATACAAATTTGTAGGACTCTAACAATGTAATTTCTAGTTGTAATACATGAGGTGTGTCGAATCGTTGAAACAAAAGCATATAACAATCATCATCAGAAAATCCTTCCCAAGTTTTATTCAAATGTCGAAGGATTTTTTATAGTGTAATTTAATATTTTTGATTTGTTTATTATTTGAATGTACCTTGAAGGATAATTTAAGAAAAAAATATAGGGTGTATTGAGACTAAATTATAATCTTAAATAATTTAATAGAGTGTATTGAAAAATTAGATGTACTTAATAAGCGTGGGCATCATTTTGCAACTCGGCCCAGCTTGATATTGATTCTTAACGTTCGTTTTGGATGTGAATTGACTTTTTAATTTTTTAACTATTTTAACTTGGAGCTAAAAAATTTCGTTTGAGATTGACTTTTTGACTTTTTTCACTTTTGTAAGAGGAAAAAATAAAATGATTATGATTTGGATGTGTCATTTGTTTTTTTGGCTTTTTAGTCTATTTTATCTTTTTGTATCTATTTTAACATAAAAAATTTATGCCAAACATAGCCTTAATTTGAATTTTTGATATGATTTTTATTTTTATTATATCTAAACATTAAATCTCAATCATACAAAAAATCAATTTAAAATTACTTTTTTAAAAAAAAAAAAAAGCCACTCTTCAATCTTTATCCTTTCATATAAATTATTAAATTTTATACGAGTTTTCGTAAAACGTATAGCCTAATATTGTATTTGGTTTGGAAATTTAGGAAGAAATTTAGAAAGAGAAAGAAAAAAATTGTGTAAAACTATGTGAAATATATATATATTTTATTCACATTTCACATTCTTTTTTCATTTTTTTTTCCAAATCATTCTTCAAATCTCCCAACCAAACATAGTATAAAAAGTTCTCTATCTTCATTGTTAAGATTTCTAATTCTTCTACTTTGACCCTCCATCCAATATTGACTAAATTAAAGATGTAATTTTTTTTCATTTATATTTTTAATTTTAAGATAGGGTTTATTACACTTTCTACCTTTAAACTATCATCAAATTATCTACTTAGTTTTTGAACTATCAATTAAGTTTACTTTGTCCCTAAAGTATATAAATCAAATCTATGTGTATTGAAAAATTAGATGTACTTAATAATTTTTTAGGTGCAAATAAAATCTCCCAAGGTTTTTGATAATATGAGGGGGGGGAGTGCACAAGCTTGGGCATCATTTTGCAACTCGGTCCAACTTGATATTGATTCTTAGCGTTCGTTTTGGATGTGAATTGAATTTTTAATTTTTTAACTATTTTAACTTGGAGCTAAAAAATTTCTTTTCAGATTGACTTTTTAACTTTTTTCACTTTTGTAAGAGGAAAAAATAAAATGATTATGATTTGGATGTGTCATTTGTTTTATTGACTTTTTAAACTATTTTATCTTTTTGTAACTATTTTAACATAAAAAGTTTATGCCAAACATAGCCTTAATTTGAATTTTTGATATGATTTTTATTTTTATTATATCTGTACGGGAAGGAAATAATTCTCCTCGTATAATCCTGTTGACTAAGTCCACGCTCCTCCGTACGACGTCGCTTTGTCACCTGAAACACAAACGTGAGCTAGCCGGCGGGTGTGTGCCGGAAACCTCTCTGATGCCTAAGTCAGAAAACTTGACAAATAGACAAAGCTCTATGTTCTCAGATAAAAGTGTTCAATTACCTCCTCCAAGGTGGTGCTTGTGAGTTTTTATAAGTTTCCTGTGGCACAATTCTAGTAGGACTTGTATTTCTCCATGCAGAGTCCTCTTAGGATTCATACTCCTAAGGATAATGCTTATCCTTTTACACCCTCCCCCATTGCTTAAACCAAGTGGGATGGTTTTCACCTTGGCCGAACTACTATATGACCGAAATAAGTTTGGCTATGCAGAGCCACAGAGAAGGCCGAACCGTCCCTAGCTCGGTTTTCTCCTCCAACTCCTTATCTCGGCTTTCCCCTGTTCAACCATGGTGTGTTTATATCAAACTTCCAAGTAGCAAGTTCTGACCGACCTAACCAAATTATGATACGACCGGACTAAATGTAAGGCCGGACTTACTTCAAATTGCCACCGGACCGGAGTTGCTTTACACATTCTTGAACCGGAGTAACCACACCTCTCCTGGGCCGGAATAACTATACTTCTCCTGGACCGGAGTATCTATGCCTCTACTGGGCCGAAATATCACTACGGTTTCCTACCGATTCCTTCACACTTTGGGCCGCAGAGCCCAACTCACAGCTCGGCCCAATTCTTTCCCAAAAATTACCCTCTCAATTGCCCCTTAATTTCATCTGCATAGCATGATTGAGATTACAAATCCTCCAACCGAGCTGAAGTTCTTACAAGCCCTTCCAGCCGAGATAAAAAACCCTTCAGTGTATCCAGCCGAGCTAGTTTTACTCCGAACTCTGCTTTATCCGGTCAAAACGTCTCTTCAATCACGACTGTAACGCTTCCCTTTCCCTTGCCACGTGGCGGGCTCTGATAGGCCGTGAGCTGTTATCACGCCGCCTTCGTACTTCGAACTTTTTGAACAGTCCCGCCCCTTTTTGCCGCTTTTTTCTCTCTCCTCTTTCACAAAATAACCTTTATTTCTCTTGAATCATTCACCTTCCATTATTCATCTTATCTCTTTGTGTTCTTGCTGTTCGTGTTCTTCCTTCACTTTTGAGAACTGATTTTGCTGCCACTTTCCCATCATCAGATCCCTCTTCTTCCACCTGGTAAGTAGACTCACTTTGCTTCCTTTATTTTGCTTTCGAATCTGTATAGTTTTGTTTTGCATGTTTTTTGCAAACATTTTCTTTCATTTTTGACGCTTCGCCTCCGTACTTTTATGAAAAAATAAGTAGAACTTCAAGTGTGTATGAACTATTATGTAGAAAACCAGTCTTAGATCTAAAATCACATAGCAACCGAACTAGGATACTGTTTGTCCA